TTTTTTTTTTTTTTAAAATAAACAATAACAATAGATATCCTCACTTTACTTTGGCTGCGAGAGTATAAAAAAATTGTCACTCAGTTTGCGAGACTCTTATACACTAGTCATGCTCTTTGTAATTAGTAACTTAAATTGTATGAGCAAAATGAAAGTAGTGTAAAATTAGAAGAAATAGCAAACTAAGAATTTAAAAAAATTTCACTAGCAATACACCACGTGTACGTAAATAAGATTTAAGAAATTAGAATTTTTATAAATTCCTAAAAGAAACATATATATAATTTGGTTAAATAATATCTTAGATTTTTTAATTTATATTTGAATCATCAGTACCGTGTTATATAGTTAAAAAAGTAATACAACTAAAATCAACTAAGGGGTAGCTTAAGTGATAAACCACCTTGTTTCAAACTTTTGCTAGTGTTATAACTTATCACTTTTAATTTCAAGGGATAATTCAAATGATAATAAGGACAAGTTATAAATATAGAAATTTTGAGTTCAAATCTTAATAACTAGACTATGAGAAATTTATTTTTCATGAATACTCTATTCTGACATGAATGACTTACTTTTAACCGAACTGGATAAATAATTAATCGAGCTGTGCACAAATTAATTTGAATATCCCTCATTGTTAAAAAAAAAAAAATAACTTATCAGCTTCCCCGCAAATAAAAGAGGACATAAATTACAAGAAACTTTCCAAGAGTGAAAAAGTGCTATGTATCGATCTCATCACGCTACAAGTGGAATTACCAGAGTTGTTGCTGAAAGAAATAGTAACAAGATTTGCATTAACTAGATAGCCGAGGTGGGGAGGGGAATGGGCCAACACAACTAAACCACGTTGTTGCCGAACTCCCATGATTGCCAACGCATCCGTACATTAGTTCTTTTCTTTAGGAATGTGGATTGTTGGAACATAGCTTTCATACTATTTGTTAATTTTATACTATAGATAATTAATATAAATAATACTATTTATTACAAAATAAGATTTTAAAAATTAAAAAATAATAAAGTATGACATAAAAATATAACGTGATTTGATACAATATATCCACCTTGATATATCATACTTACATCTATGGATTAAAAATCTATATCAATGTATTATTCTTAATCATCTGGTAATTGATTACATAATATACACTTTTATTTATAAAATATTATAATTCAAATCTATTTAAATATAACTTGATCTTTATGTTTCCTATCACGTATCTAACATACTTATTCATAATATATTAAATTTTTGCTACAATAATCATATTTCGTATAAAATTGTTGCATTAATTGTTCATCAAACTCTCNAGTTTAATGTGACCTAAAAATGGTAGTAAACAATAATTAAAGTTCCTGTTTGTAACAAAATCTGTAAGAATTAAGTGTGAAACAGTCTTATCTTTGATTTTTAATATATCGATTTTCGAGTCTAAGCCGACAACATGTAAGAAATACCCCTAATTTGGTACCCCTTTATTGGGGTTATGTGCATTTTAATTTTAATCAACCGCCCCTTGAAGCTACCCTTTCTTTTCAAAACCCTGTACACGTGTCTTTATGGTATGTGTATTTTTTTTTCTTCAATCAAGTTTCATTGTCTTGTATTGCAGTGGCATTCCAAGTTCCCTTCACTTCCTTTTTTTTTTTTTTAAAATAAACAATAACAATAGATATCCTCACTTTACTTTGGCTGCGAGAGTATAAAAAAATTGTCACTCAGTTTGCGAGACTCTTATACACTAGTCATGCTCTTTGTAATTAGTAACTTAAATTGTATGAGCAAAATGAAAGTAGTGTAAAATTAGAAGAAATAGCAAACTAAGAATTTAAAAAAATTTCACTAGCAATACACCACGTGTACGTAAATAAGATTTAAGAAATTAGAATTTTTATAAATTCCTAAAAGAAACATATATATAATTTAGTTAAATAATATCTTAGATTTTTTAATTTATATTTGAATCATCAGTACCGTGTTATATAGTTAAAAAAGTAATACAACTAAAATCAACTAAGGGGTAGCTTAAGTGATAAACCACCTTGTTTCAAACTTTTGCTAGTGTTATAACTTATCACTTTTAATTTCAAGGGATAATTCAAATGATAATAAGGACAAGTTATAAATATAGAAATTTTGAGTTCAAATCTTAATAACTAGACTATGAGAAATTTATTTTTCATGAATACTCTATTCTGACATGAATGACTTACTTTTAACCGAACTGGATAAATAATTAATCGAGCTGTGCACAAATTAATTTGAATATCCCTCATTGTTAAAAAAAAAAAAA